TGCGCTGACGGCCCTGCTGACTGTAGCAGGGCTCCGCACCTGGGGAGAACCAGGCGGAGAAAGTGTCCGCCTGGTTCCGCTGGTCCCATGGTATCCGTTTGGTCCCCGTTTGGTCCCCGTTTGGTCCCCTGGGGAACAAGACATCTTGAGCCAAAGTGGCTACGGAGGATGGAGAGGGGGAGAAGGAGGATGAGGAGGAGGAGGGGGAGGAGGAGGGGGAGGGGGAGGAGGGGAGGAGGAGGAGGAGGAGGAAGAGGAGGAGGCCTGGGCTTCGTGGGGGGCCCGTGCAAAAAAACAGCGGGGGTCCCCCAGGCCTGCGAGCGGCCTCCGGTGCGCGGCTTCTGGGGGCGCCGGGCCCGAGCGCGCGAGCCGCTGCTGCTGCGAGCTCGTCGATCGGGGGAGGGGGGGGAGGAGGAGGAGGAGGAGGAGGAGGAGGAGGAGGAGGAGGAGGAGGAGGAGGAGGAGGAGGAGGAGGAGGAGGAGGAGGAGGGGAGGAGGAGGAGGAGGGGGAGGAGGGGGGGAGGAGGGGGGGAGGAGGAGGAGGAGGGGAGGAGGAGGAGGAGGAGGAGGAGGAGGAGGAGGAGGAGGAGGAAGAGGAGGAGTGAGAGGGAGCAGGCTTTTTTGTTTTGAAGGCGGCGGGGCCCCTCAGAACCCCCCCCTGCCTTCCGAGAAGCCGCCCGCACCAAATGTTTTTCGACACGCCCAGGGCCTCCCCCAGGATTATGATGCCCCCATCGTACTTCAGGACCACATCCCAGGCATAATTTCGAGCACCCGAAAAAGAGTCGAACAAGAGTCGAAACAGTGTCGAACGAGTGTCTCCCAGGGCCCGAGACGTGAAAACCCTCGAGTTGCGGTGTTTTTTTGGTGCTCGATAGGTTGGAACATCATAACCCCAGGAGCACCGTGGCGCCCGGGAACCTCTGGGGGCCGGGGGCCGCCGAGCTCCACCGCTGCCGCGCCGCGCGGGCGCCCAGAGCGCGCGCGGCTCTGCCTGCGCCCTCGCCCGCGCCCCGCTCGCCGAGAGAGCCCCCCCGGCGAGGCGCGAGGCGCGGTCGCCGCCCCCCCCCCCCCCCCCCCTCCTCCTCCTCCTCCTCCTCTCCTCCTCCTCCTCCTCCTCCTCTCCTCCTCCTCCTCCTCCTCCTCCTCCTCCTCCTCCTCCTCCTCCTCCTCCTCCTCCCGCCCCTCCCCTCCCCTGCGCTTGCTGGGATGGGCTGCGATCCCCCGGGAAACGCCGCGCGCGAACCCAGGACCCCCACGCGCGAACCCCGGATTCCTGAACGCACGAACCCTGGAAGCTGGCGGAACCACCCCCAAAACTGCCGCAGCTCCGCCCGCGGAAACTTGGAAACGCGATCCCCTGATGCCTGGAGGCGCCCCTTCCTGCTTGCACCCCCGCTCCCCGCGCCCCGTCTCCTTCGACTCTTCCTCCTCCTCCTCCTCCTCCTCCTCCTCCTCCTCCTCCTCCTCCTCCTCCACCTCCACCTCTTCCTCATCCATTTTTCTCCCCCTACTGTCTCCTGCACTTCGGCATTGACGCGCGGATGCCGACGCCGGCGCCGATGCGAATGCCGACGCCGCCGCCGACCAGCGCGCCACCAAGCCCCCAAACCGCCCGCGGGACCCCGCTGGAACCTCGACGTCCTGAGACCTCCGGAAGCGCCCAGAGACCACTGACAGCGAGGGAGAAGAAACAGTGGCATAAGAACGAGGAGGAGGAAGAGGAAGAGGAACATAAGAGAGAGCATCACGCGCCTAAATCAATCAAATACCGCTGAACTCGTCAGCCTGGTCTTCCCAGAAACCTCTCTGACCAGAACTCCGAAGCGCGAGTCCAGCCGTGGAGACGAGACTGCATTCCCACAGAAGCCTTCCTTCCTTGACCTCGCCCTAGCCGAAGCGCCGGGAAGGAAAACCCCGCGCAACGAAACCGCGCGCCAGCTGCATGGGCGAGGCGAAAGCCCATGATCCCGGATCCCACCAGGAGGAAAAGGTAACAAGCTGAGGGCAGATAATGGAAAGTTTCGAAGGCCCTTCGACGGCCCCCGACAATCGCCACGCCGCCAACAGCGCAATGAAGCCAGAGCAACAAAACCCCAAGACGACACCAGAGTGCCCCGCAGGACCCCACTGGTTTCTTGACGTCCTGAGACCTCCTGCAGCCTCCAAAGACCGCTGAGAGAAATTACCCTGACGATGTGCCCAACCCTTGCGCAACGTGTGGCCAGAAGAGCTGGGAACAGACATACAAGGGTGACAACGTGGCAATGATCCAATGTGTCGTGGTCTCTACTTGGGAGGCTCGCTGAGCTGTACGACTCGCGGGGCACCGATCGATGGACAAGGGCTTGATGGAGGTGATTACTTATTTCCCTGGCTCGAGAGGAAAGAGAGCTGCCCCCCCCAGCCTTCGAAAGTGGCAGCACTTTGCCAAATCGCACCCCCCTCGATCTGAGTCTGGGTAGGGCCTCCGCTATGCTGGCCCCCCCCAGCAAGGCCTCGAAAGTGGCGACATGTTGGTAGATCCCAGCCCCCCAGGGATGGCGAGGTCCAGTCTGCATCTGGGCTGTGCCCCCACTATGCTCGCCCCCCCCCCCCCCCCCAGCAGCCCTCAAGAGTGGTGGACATTTCGCCGAATGCAGCCCCCCAGAGATGGCGCGGTCTGACCTGAGTCCGCGTGGGGCGGCACTGTGCTGCCCCCCCAGCAGCCCTCGAAAGTGGCGACGGTTCCGCAGATCGAAACCCCCCAGGTATGGCGAGGTCTAATCTAAATTCGCGAATGGCGTCACTGTGCCCCCCCCCCCAGCAGCCATCGATAGTGGCGACAGTTACGCAGATCGCAACCCCTCAGGGATGGCGAGGTCTAACCTGAGTCCGCGTATGGCGTGTGGCGTCACTCCGCTGAACCCCCTAGCAGCCCTCGAAAGTTGCGACAGTTTCGCAGATCGAAGCCCTTCGAACCCCCCCAGCAGCCCTAGAGAAGTGGCGGCAGTTTCGCAGATCGAAGCCCCCCAGGGATGGCGAGGTCTAGTCTCCCCAGGCAGCAATCGAAACCGGCGACGGTTACGCAGATCGCATCGCAACCCCACTGGGGATGGTGAGGTCTAATCTGAGCCTGCGTGGGGGCGACACATTGCTGCCCCCCCAGCAGCCTTCCCCTCGAAAGTGGCGACAGATTCGAGATCGCAACCTCCCACAGGGGAGGCGGGAGGGAGGTGGGAAGGAGGACGCGACCACAGTGTTCTGAAAACGAGAACCCAACGCAGGAGGGTTGGGAAGAGAGAGAGAGAGAGATACACACACATATATATAGAGAGAGAGAGAGAGTGGAAAGAGGGAGGCGGGAAAGGAGAACACAACAACGGAGGCGGAAAGAGGGAGGCGGGAGGTGGAGGCCACAGTGCTCTATTCAAAACGAGCACCCAACAACTGAGGGTTGCGAAGGAGAAAGAGAAAGAGAGAGAGAGATAGAGAGCAAAAAGAGCAGGAACAGGAACATCATAACGAGGAAGGGGAAGAGGAGCATGAAAAGGGAAAGGAGCGCGCGCCTAGATCGATCAAACATCGCCGAGCTCGACAGCCTCACCTTCCATTCCCAGAAGCACGCCCCGACTAGGATTTTGAGGCGAGTCCAACCGCAGAGACGAAACTGGACCTCGCCCTAGCCGAACCACCGGGAACGGAGATGGGGACCCTCCTCATCGGACGCCAGCCCGCACGACGAAGCCATGCACCAGCTGCAGGGGCGAGGCAAAGTCCTAAGATCCAGAATCCCGCCAGAAGATCTGAAGGATGGGGTAACAAGCGGAGAGCAGAGAGCTGAGACCTTCGAAGGCCCTTCGACATCCCCCAGCCCACCACCAGACCGTCAACCGTGCAGCAAAGCCAGCGCAAGAACGCCCGAAGACGACGCCAGAGTGCTCCACGGGCGCCAGGTGTACCTACTCCTGCTCCTGCTCCTTCTGCTTCTTACGTTCCTGCTGCTCCTGTTCCTGCACCTGGACCTCCTCCTCCTCCTCCTCCTCCTCCTCCTCCTCCTCCTCCTCCTCCTCCTCCTCCTCCTCCTCCTCCCCCCCGTCCTAACCGTCCTCCTCTTCCTCCTCCCCCCCGTCCTAACCGTCCTCCTCTTCCTCCTCCTGAGCGCCCTCCTCTTTCCCCTCCTCATCCTTCTCCTCCTTCCCCTCCTCCTCCTCCTCCTCCTCCTCCTCCTCCTCCTCCTCCTGCTGCTTTTCGTGTTTCTGCTACTCCTACACCTACTCCTGCTCCTGAACGTCGTCGTCGTCCTCCTCCTCCTCCGCCCCCTCGCGGAGCTCTCCTGGGTTCTATCGTTCGCGCCTTCTGCTTCTCCTGGGTTCGCTTGCTCCGAAATCCCCGGGTTTGTGCCTCTTCGGCTTTCCTGGGTCTCCTCGCTCTTCTCCTGGGTCGGTGCCCTCGCTGCCCGGGCTTCGGTCGTTCCCATGGGCCGCAGTTCATCCCGTTTGCCGCCCCCCACCGCAGAGCCCTCGGCGGAAGAGGACGGGGCCCTCCCCGGCGGGCGAGCGCCTCTGGCCGCCGCTGCCAAGCAGCCTCCCGAGCCAGGGGCGTCCAGGCGTCTGCCGGCCCTCCCCCCGGGGCCCGTGGCGCGAGAGGGCGAGGCACCCGACCCCTGGCAGGCGCCCCCGCCCCCCCGGGGGAGGGGGCCCGGGGCGCGCAGCCCCCGCGGGGCGCCCCGGGAGGCCCCGGGAGGACTCTCCCCAGAGGCCGAGAAGGGCCAGAAGCGGCCCGTCGCTGCGTCCCCGCGCCGCGCCCCCCCCCTCCCCCCTCCCCATCCCTTCTGGCCCCCCCCCCCCCTCCTCCCTCCCCTCGCCTTCGCCTTCGCCCCCCCCCCCCCCCCTCGTCTCTCTCTCCTGGCCCCCCGCCCTCGCTGCCCCTCCTCGCCCCCCTCCCCCTCTCCCTCTCTCCCCTTCTCTCTCCCCTCGGCCTTCCCCCCCGCCCCTCCCCTGCCCGCCCCCCCCCCCCGCCTCCGGCGTCGCAGTCCGCGGAGCACAGCGGGCAGGTCCGGCGGCACTCCGCGAGCCACCTGGGCGCCGCGGCGCTGTCCGAGGGCTGGGGCTCCTCCGCCCCTGCTGCTGCTCCTGCTCCCCCCCGTGAGGAACACGCAGCCAGGGTCCCTCCTGGTCGGGTCACTAAAGGGCGCGGCCGTCGCGGCGAGCACCCGGCGAGCACTCCGCGGCCGTCGCCCGTGGCCGAGGATGTCGTGCGTCGCGCGGGCCTCGCTTTCCCCTGGCGGGTCTTGATCGTTGCCACACCCGGGATGGCCAGTTCATCCTCGTTCCTCCTTACACTCTCCTCCTCCTCCTCCTCCTCCTCTTCCTCCTCCTGTTCCTGCTCCTCCTCCTCCTCCTCCTCCTCATCCTGCTCCTGCTCCTCCCCATGTTCCCTCTTAGTTCCATCCTGCTCCTGCTCCTCCTCCCACTCCACCTCCTCCAACTCCTCCATTTCCCTCTTCCTCCCTCTTTCTCCCACTTGGGGTGTTTGGAGCGCTCTGGGTCCTCCTCGCCGCAGCCGACAGCGGATGCGGCCCCTCAGGGACGTGGGCACATGTGCGGGAGGAGAAGGACGAGAAGAAACAGGAGGAGACAGAAGAGATACGCAATGATGATGCTGATGAGGCTTCTGCTGCTGCTGCTGCTGCCGATGATGATGATGCTGATAATGATAATGATACTGATAATAATAATGATGATGATGATGATGATGGTGATGCTGATGATGATGATAATGATGATGATGATGATGATGATGACGACTGCGATGGCGATACTGATGACGATGATGATGATGATGATGATGATGCTGGTGATGACGATGTGCATGATAATGCTGATGACTATGACGATTATGATGATGATTATGATGATTATGACGCTCATAATGATGCTGCTGGTGGTGATGATGACGATGCTGATGACGATGATGCTGATGATGACGCTTATGACGCTTATGCTGATGAGATGATCATTATACTTATTATACTGATTATGATGCTGATGATTACGATGATGGTGATTCTGATGCTGCTGATGATGATGGTGATGCTGATGACACTGAGGATGATGATGACGATAATGACGACCATGGCGGTGAATATGACGATGCTGGTGCTGACGATGATGATGCTGAAGATGACGCTGATGATGATGACGAAAGCGGATGCGGCCCCTCTGGGACGTGGGCACATGTGCGGGAGGAGAAGGACGAGGAGAAACAGGAGGAGACGGAAGAGACACATAATGATGATGCTGATGAGACTGCTGCTGCTGCCGATGATGATGATGATAATGATGATGATGATGATGATGATGATGATGATGATGATGGTGACGATGATGATGCAGATGATGATGATGATGATGATGATGATGATGATGATGATGATGATCATGAACATGATGCTGATGATGACGACTGCGATGGCGATACTGATGACGATGTGGATAATAATGCTGATGGCTATGACGATTATGATGATGATGATTATTATCACGCTTTTGATGATGCTGATGATGATGACGATGCTGATGACGATGATGCTGATGATGACGCCTAGGCTGATGATATGATCATTCTTATTTGCTGCTGATGATGATGCTGATGATTACGATGATGGTGGCGATGATGATGATGTTGATGATGATGGTGATGCTGATGACACTGAGGATGATGATGACGATAATGACGACGATGGCGGTGAATCTGATGATGCTGGTGCTGATGATGATGCTGATGATGTTGCTCATGATGATGATGGCGATGATGATGATGATGATGATGATGATGATGATGATGATGATGATGATGATGATGATGGTGGTGATGATGATGATGATGATGGCGGTAATGATGATGATGATGATGATGATGATGATGATGATGATGATGATGATGATGATGATGGTGGCGTTGATGCTGTTGTTGATGCTGATGCTGTTGCGGATGATGACGATGATAACGACGATGACGATGGCCATGACGATGGCAATGATGATATTGGTGATGCTGATGCTGATGCTGATAATGATGATGATGCTGCTGATGATGATGCTGCTGATGATGATGATACTGATGCTGGTGATGATGATGATGATGATGACACTGATGATGACGATGATGGTGATTCTGATGAGAAGGCTAGATACGATGATGATGACGATGATCATGATGATTATGATGACGATGATGACGCTGATTATGATGATTGTATGATGCTGATGACGATGCTGCTGCTGCTGATGATGATGATGATGATGCTGGTGATGATGCCGACGATGATGATGATGATGATGATGATGCTGATGATGATGACGATGCTGATGACGATGATGATGATGATGGTGGTGGTGATGATGATGATGATGATGATGATGGACGCTGATGCTGATGACGATGATGACGATGATGATGGTATGATGCTGATAATGAAAATGCTGCTGGTGGTGATGACGATGGTGACGCAAATGAAGCTGATGATGATGATGAGGACGCGTATGATGATGCTGATGATGGTGATGATGCTGATGATGATGACGATGATGATGATGGTGGTGGTGATGATCATGTTGTTGTTATTGATGCTGATACTGGGGATGATGACGCTGATAATGATGGTGTTTCTGATGAGTATAACCATGATGACAACGACAACAATAACGATGACGATGCGGATGCTGATGATGCTGATGATGATGACGCTGCTGGTGGTGATGACGCATATGATGATGCTGGTGCTGATGATGCTGATGATGGTGGTGATGATGATGACAGTGATGATGGGGATGATGATGATGATGATGATGATGATGTTGTTGTTGATGATGATGATGATGATGATGATGACGCTGATGATGACGATGCTCTTGATGATGCTGATGCTGATGCTGACGCTGACGCTGATGATGATGATGACGATGATGATGATGAGGAGGAGGAGGAGGAGGAGGAGGACAATGACGATGGAGACGACGGAGAGAGCGTGATCCACCGCCGCTTTATTGTGTAAAATTTCCCCCCGTCTTCCTCCGGAACCCAGGGGTCCCCCCCCACCCCTCCGAAAATCCCCTCATTCCCTTGCTCGACCCCCCCCCCTTCCCCCCCCCCTTGCCCTGGCCCCCCCCCCCTTTTCTGCGGAAAACTGGGGGGGTCACTGCCGGTTCGAACCCCCCTCCCCCCCCCTCTCCAGAAAACCCAGGGGGTCCGTCCCCACCACTGTCCCACTGTCCCCACTGATCCCGCCACTGTCCCCACTGTCCCCACCAATGCCCCCACCACCGTCGCACTGCCCCCACTGTCCCCGCCACTGTCCCCACCACGGCCCCACTCTCCCCACTGTCCCCTTTGTCCCCGCCACTGTCCCACTGTCCCCACTGTCCCCACCACTGTCCCGCTGTCCCCACCGCTGTCCCACTGAGCTGTCTTTTCCCACCACTGTCCCATTGTCCCACCACCGTCCTGACCACCGCCCTCACCACTGTCACCACCACCACCGTCCCACCATTGCTGTCCCAACTGTCCCCACCACTGTCCGAGTGTCTCCTCACCACTGTCCCCACCACTGTCCCACTGTCCCCACCAGTGCCCCACCACTGTCCCACTGTCCCCACTGTTCCCACCACTGTCCCCGCTTTCCCCACCAGTGCCCCCACCACTGTCGCACTGTCCCCGCTGTCCCCACCACTGTCCCACCACGATCCCACTCTCCCCACTGTCCCAACTGTCCCCACCACTGTCCCATTGCCCACTGTCCCCATCACTGTCCCAATGTCCCCACCGCTGTCCCACTGTGCTGCCCCACTGTCCACTCTGTCCCCACCACTGTCTCACTGTCCCCACTGTCCCACCACTCTCCCCACTGTACCACTGTCCCACCACCGTCCTAACCACTGCCCTCACCACTGTCCCCACCACCACCGTCCCCACCACTGTCCCACAGCTATCCCCACCACCACCGTCCCCACAACTGTCCAGCTGTCTCCATTGTCACCACCACTGTCCCACTGTCCTCACAATCCCCACCACTGTCCCCACTGTTCCCGCCAGTGCCCCCACCACTGTCGCACTGCCCCCACTGTTCCCACCACTGTCCCCACACCGTCCCACTCTTCCCACTGTCCCCACTCCCCACCACCATCCCTACCACCGTCTCAACCAGTCCCCCATCCCCCATCCGGACTGGGAGAGGAGGGGGAGTCGTTGCGGCGAAGGAGGGGGGAGGGGGGGGGTTCGAACCGGTAGTGATCCCCCCCGGTTTTCCAGGAGGGGGGGGAGGGGTTCGAACCGGTAATGACCCCCCCCCCCCTTTCTGGATGGACCAGGGGGGGTGGGGGAGACGAGGGTTGGAACACCCAGTGACCCCCCCAATCCCCCCAATTTTCGAGAGGGGGGGGGCACGGGTTAGAAACTCCAATGACCCCCCCCGGTTTTCTGCCAGCAACGGAAGAACACGCTCCTTCTAACGACGATGACGATGACGAAGATGAAGCTGATGATGCTGATGCTGATGCTGATGACGCTGATAATCATGATGCTAATGATGGTGACGCTGCTGATGAAGATGATGATGATGATGATGGTGATGATGACCATGACGATGATGATTGTGATGATGATGGTGGTGACTGTGTTGCTGTTGTTGACGGTGCTGACAATGCTGATGACGCTCATGATGATGATGCTGATGATGATGACGACGGAGATGGTGACGACGGTGCCGATGAAGATGACAATGATGATGCTGATGATGGTGCTGACAATAATGATGATGATGATGATGATGATGGTGATGATGACGATGATGATGATGGTGGTGGTGGTGATGATGCTGATGATGATGACGCCGATAACGATACTGATGACGATGATAACGATGACGATGATAATAACGATGACGCTGATGATGATGATTATTGCGCTGATGATGATGCTGATACTGATACTGATGATGATGATGATGATGATGATGATGATGATGTTGTTGAAGATGGTGATGTTGCTGTTGTTGATGATAACGGCGCTGATGATGAT